TTGAATATTACGCCTGTACTCTGCGCCTTGGGGTGACTTCAGCTGGACCTGATCCCCATAGCGAGCCGTTACTTGGTATGGCTCTTTTTCATAGTGTGAAGACAGCTTATTCTCCTTCCTCTTCTCCAGCAACATAAGGTCTCCCCCCTGTACACACTTCTCTGCTGCATGGTGTCTCTTGTCAGCATAATCTGCACCTATCTGCTTCTTTTCCGCATCACTATCTCTGGTTTGCTGATATCCCAGCTCTTCAGACTCCTCCAAATCAGCAACCTCTGGCAATTAAGTAGACATTTTCCTCCCACAAAGTAACTCAGCGGGACTCCTGCCGGTAGTTGTGTGTGGGGTGGAGCGGTATGCCAGGAGGAACTTGTTCAACTCCAACCTCCAGTCTCTTCCCTCAGCATGGGCAACTCTCATTGCTTTCAAAAGAGAACTATTTTGCCGTTCAACCTCTCCATTTGCTCTCGGCCATAGTGGGGTGGTCAGCCTGTGCTTAATGCCCATCTCATCCAGATACTCCTCCATTTCAGCAGACACGAGGTTGGGTCTGTTGTCTGATCTCAAGGTACTCGGTACTCCATATCTAGAGAACTGTCTGTCTACACACTTAATTATCGCTTCTGAACTGCTGGACTTAATGACGTCAACCTCCACCCATCGGCTTAAATAATCCACTAGGACCAGCAAAGACTCTCCTGTTGGCATAGGGCCCAGTAGGTCCAACGCTAGGTCCTGCCACGGTCTCTCAGGCATCCTGGTTGTCTTCACTAGTGGAGGCACTGTCGCCTTTGTCACAAGCTGGCGCCCATAACACTCTTGGCACTTTTGTTCTGCATCTTTATCAACACCTGGCCACCACACCTTAGATCTCAGGCGCTCCTTCATCTTCACCACCCCCTGGTGTCCCTCAAGTGCAAGTTCTAAGACCCTCTTCCTCAAAATGTTAGGAATCACGATTCTAGTTCCACGCAGGATGACTTGGCCAATATAGGTAAGTTCGTTACGTACCCACACATATGGCTTTGGAGCTGTCTCCCAGTTCCCACTTATAAGACAACTTCGCACTGCTTGCAAATCATCATCCTCAGCTGAGGCACTCTCAATCTCTTGAATCTTTAGGGCTATAGGTACGGCACTGAGAGCAACCATTCGAACGTGCTCATCATCATATCGATATTTCTCTGAAGTGGGGATCTTCGTCAGACATGATAGGGCATCTGCAATGTTGTCTTGGGACTTGACACAGCATACGTTGTAATTGTACGGTTGCAGTCTTAGCACCCAGCGCTCGATGCGTGCAGATGGTTTGGATCCTCTTGAGTAGATCACTTTCAATGCTTCGTGGTCCGTGACTAAATCGAAGGTTGGTAGCCCAAGCAGGTAAAGGTTAAAACGTTCACAGGCCCACACGAGAGCTAGTGCCTCCTTTTCAGTTTGGCTGTACCTCCTTTCGACACTGCTGAGACTTCTGCTGGCGTAACAAACAACTCGGCTCTCTCCATTCTTGTCCTGGACCAGAACAGCTCCTAACCCCACGGGGCTTGCATCAGCTATCACTCGCGTGTGTGCATCTTTGTCAAAATAAGCTAGCACAGGCGCACTAGCTAATTGCTTTTTCAGTTCTTGAAAGGATGTCTCCTGCTTACTGCTCCAAACAAAGGGTACTCCCTTCCTGGAAATTGCTCTTAGAGGCTCGGCGACAGTTGCAAGATTAGGAATAAATCTTGCACTAAAGCCAACCATACCAAGGAAGCTCCTCACTTCCGTTGCAGTAGATGGGCGGTTTGCCTCCAGCACTGCACGTACCTTCTCTTCTGTTGGGCCGACGCTATACTTTGACACTAACACCCCCATAAAGACGACCTTGTCCATTCTGAATTGGCATTTTTCAAGGTTGAGGGTGAGGTTCTTCTCTGCTAATCTCTGTATCAATCTATATAGATTCCTGTCATGCTCCTCATTGTTCTCACCATGTACTATCAGGTCATCTGCAATATTCTGGACACCACCAATGTCTGAGACCACTTGTCTGATTATCTGCTGATATTTCTCAGGGGCAGAGTTTACTCCAAAACTTAGTCGCTTGTACCTGAACAACCCCTCATGTGTGGCAAACGTGATTATGTCTCTTGATTCCTCATCCAACTTGATCTGATGAAATCCTAGGCGAAGATCTAATTTTGAAAACACTCTGCCACCGTTAAGATTTTCCAACACTTCGTCAACAGTTGGGATGGGTATCTGCTCCCGGATAATAGCCTGATTTGCTTAACGCATGTCCACACAAAGCCTGATATCCCCCGAAGCTTTGGGCGCAACTACTACTGGACTCACCCACGAGGTCGGCCCATCTACCCGTTCAACTATGTCCATAGCAATGAGTTCTTCCACCTTTGCAGTTACTTTCTCTTGTAGTGCAAATGGGACACGCCGTGGCTTTTGAGCAATCAGTGTCACCTCCGGGTCGACATGTAATTTAAACTTGTAGTCCTTCAGC